GCCGGGAGCGGCAGGAGATGGGGGAGCAGCTCTCCGGCTTAATGCATCTCGGTGCCGAAGCTTGCAAAGAAAATCCCCGAAAGATACAAACCTCCAACATCCAAGTGGCAACTATTTTCCTCATATATGGCAAGATTTCTTTCTGCACGCACTTGAAGTAGGAGACGGAGGGCGAGCAGGTCTCCTCCGCCTTCAGCATTGTCTGCAGCACCCTGTCATTGAGGAGGTTGGCATCTAGGTAGGCTCGTCGGATGGTCTCCACCTCGCAGCACAGCAGCTGATGTTCCATGTCTGCCTCCGTCGTCTCGAGTCAGTTTTCTGCAGCAGGACTGAGTCAGTCGCTCGCTCGCTCTCTCTCTTCCCCTTCCAGGAGTCCCTTGGATGCTGCTTCTGCTACTGCCGCTACAGCCCTCTGGAGGCTGCAAAACTTTCTAACTTCCAACAAAACTCTCCTGTATAGTCCCTGTGACGTTACTGTTGTTAAGCAGAGATCAAAGCACGAGAGAGAATGAGAAAGAGAGAGAGAGAGAGCCAAAAGCAAGGGGCAGAGCCCTAAAGCCATCCCATAGGCTTCAAGTCCTTCCCCTTTGCTTAGCTTATAGAGAGCAGGGTTTTAATGCAAATGCAAATGAGACAAGGGCTTGCTTTCTTCAAGGGCAAGGGAGAGGTGGGGGAAACCCAAATTGTCTCTTCAGTGTATCATGCATAATTTTAAAAATGGAGCGAGTTCTGCAGTGGGAGCCAAATGATGAATGGGGCTAGGCCACACACAGACACGCAGGGATATAAATACAAGGAGACTTGGTTGGTATTATTTTACTGGGGGCGCCGGGGAGGGGGAGCAGGGCAGTACCAGCACATCGCTGTTCGTTATCAATTATTATTATTATTGCCATCACCGATGCGTACCTGCGATATCTGTCGTTTAAAAAGGCACGTTCCCAACCTGAACTCCCGCTCTTTGATTCCAAGGGAAAAGCTTTCTCCCATTCCCTCAGTCCTATTTTTCCCCAGCCTAGATGGTTTTGCTGCACGCCAGAATTTTAAAGGAATTGGGGTCTCCCCCCCTCTGCCAAGACGGTGCTTTTTCTTATCTTTTTTTTTTTTCTTTAACGTCTTTCCTTTCACTTTAAAGGTTTTACCCTCCAGAAGGGGCACAGAGGTGGCAGGGGACAGGGCGATAGCTAATCCGAGCCGCAGTCGGCAGCAGTGCACGCCGGGCAGGCCGCACTCGGCACCCCACCCCCACCGCTCACAGCCACCCAGAAAAAATATCCCAGCAGAGCAGCAAAATGGTGGCCAGCGCTTCCTCTAGCACCTAAAGGGAGATGAATCGGGGGGGGGGGGGGGGGGGGGCCGGCAGCC